CACACACACACACACACACACACACACACACACACACACACACACACACACACACACACACACACACACACACACACACACAGCGAGATGGCAGCATGTAAAAGTGCTCAGATCGTAGGAGGGAAATGAGGTGGTAGAGAGAGCACAGTGAGGAGAAAGATGAAGCCTGATGAAAGGTGGAGGAGAATGAGTAGGAGGAACATTGAGTGTAGGAGGTGGAGGAAGGTGAACAGGAAGAAAAATAACAGGTAGGAAGAAAATTTCTAAGTGGAAGGATGATAAGAAACCAGACAAAAGAAGAAGAAGCAGATAAGAGCCATGGAAATGACAAATGGACTATTTAATTAGCTCGACGATTACATTGTCTGGAATGAATCTTTATGGCTGATGTGTTCATAGAGAGTTCATCACTCTCACTTCATCTATTTAAGCTGGACTCACATTGTGATTCACACTTGGAGAATAATTGTCTTGAAACAAATGAAAATAAACTAGAATATTTCCACAGCTTCCAAGTTTATCTTCAACATGCTTCTGATTGGTGCATTAGATTTTGCTTTAACTAATTGCTGTTTTCATAGTCAAGCATTATTATACAGGAACAGCCTGTAATTAGTGTTGAAACTACTCATAATTTGCTGAGCAAAGATAATTCATATTAGTTTATAAAAACTCCCAAATAATAAATACATAACAATACTCAGCAGTAATCCCATTAGTAGTTTTGAACTCACCAAGCACTATTTTTATAGTGGGCAGGTGATAGTGGAGAAGGACAGGAGCAGAGCCTTTCAGCCTCTGGGAGAACATGCAGTTTCACTTTACTGAGCTCTTTTTGCAATGTCACAAGTGACAGATGCATTTAAGTATGAATTACAATTCAAAAATTATGTTATTCCTCTGAACGGATTATATTTATGTTTTACCCACACAGCACGCTTACTTTTTTGAGGCCGTGAGGATGCCCGTATGGAGCAAGTTTTGAATCAAGAATGTGTATTTGTGTTTTGACTCTCAGTTATAATAATGTGCGCAGTAGGCTATAATTTTCTTTTCTCTGCCTGTCTTGTATTGATTGTGCCTCACAGGACAAATATGCATAGAAAATGTGACAGTGACTGTTAATTATTATTAATATGCCCTATAGCAGGAGACTGGAGCCCAGATCTCCAACACTGTAGCTCAGTGAAAGTCAGTCAGACACTGTTTAAACTGTACTCCTTTACAGTGTAACTGTGCATGTTTCTGTGAATGTGAATTATGCGTTTCTTTTTTTTTTTTTTTTCATGTAGGAAGCAAATAAAAACAGGCTCCAGGCTTTGAATCCTCTGACTTTATAATGATTGGCTTTTATTGTCAGCAGAAACAGCAGTTAATAACTCAAGAAGGCAACCCCAATATTTGCTTTACTTACATGGCACCCACTATCCCTCCTCTGAATAACCTCTTTCCCGAAAAACAGTTTTTAAATTAGATGGGGGAGTCAGGGGAGGAAAAGTACCAAGAATGGTTTATTCTGAGGACACACAGAGGAAAATTGCCCCCTTTCAAGCTTTCTGATTTAAAAAATGTAAAACAACCCACTGCTTTCCAGTAATACTTTAGCTAGAGCTCTGTGCATAAACAGCTCAAGATATTTACTGGATTAATTTCAACATCTCACATCAGTGGTGTTGTGGAAAAAGCAGCTTGTCACTGTTGATTCATTCCTTTTTAATAATCATTAGACGTAGGTGAAGGGAGCAGAGAGGAGTAAAATATCGCCCTCAAAATTGCTTTGAGGCTGAATAACAATGTCAGCGCGTGGAAGGCTGAAACAGGAGATGTAATACGCCTTAGTTTGACATTATGAAGTAGATATCAATTATGGATGTGCAGTGAAAAAAAGTCTAGATATGAATAAAAAACTGCAGATATACACATTGTGCATGTTTACAGATTACATAACGACCACTTTGATGGTTTTGTTTTGATTTCTGTCTGAATATCCTTGTTGCTAGTGTTTTCCTTTAAAATATTAACACTGCTGTGATATATATGCTCACTTAGTTTATAGCTGGCACCTAGGTGACAACGCATCTCGCAGGTGATCTGAAGTAAAAAATTACT